TGGCTGAGCTGCATCTGTGAGGAGATGGACATGTCTCCATACGTGATGTCTGCACAGAAAGAGGGGTTTGTGCCTTTCCTGTAGCTCCCTTCTGCCCTTAAGAGACCCTGCAAAACCTCAGCTTCTGTATCTTACCAAAGTAGATGATAATGTTGTCTTCTCCAGTTGTTACTGCTTGCACTGGATACTGCAGGAGTCAGACGAGATTTGGGGCTGGATGCCAAAGGCCTGGGGGCTGCAATGGTTTTCCACTCACTTCCACTCACTGATTTTGCACCGACTGCTGGGACCCCCAGGCAGATTGAGAGTCATGGGCAGAGCCCACAGATGGGTCCCCCAAAATTCTACTGTCACACATTTGGCAAACTCTGGCTGCAAATTTCTTTCTACAAGAATGAAAAAGATTTTATCTTGTATGCACCAGAGGTACTCTCTTTTAACAATGGCAGACCAGTGCGGCCAGGGGCTGATGACCCTGTGATGGTGCTGGATAATTGACTTGTGCAGCTCTGATTCCTGGTGGTGAGAGGACAGGGTAATTTTGACCCTGGGGATGTGGTCCCTTGCATCTCTCAAACTGCTGTTGGTGAACTGCATGACTGGAACACCATTTCCAAGTTATATGGATCTTACACCTGGACAGGAGCAGCACAGCCTTTCTGATGAGGGCATTTCCTAGGCAGGTAGTCAAGAATATTTCTAAAGCTAGCTGAATGTTCTGAAACAGAAGAAAGATAACATTTCCTTTCTCATCCTCTGTGGTCTGTGGGGAGGGAATAGAGACAGCCACCACTCATTTAGCAAGAGCAATTCAATTTTTAAGAAATGGGAAGAGACACTAAAAAGCACTCTGTGACTTAGGGTCATTTAAGCAGATAGTGCTGAAGCAAAACCTATGATTAGGAGCAGCAGTTATTTTTATATACATTATTACATATTATTCAAATTCATTGCAACTGGAAAATAATGCATCTATCGCATTAATTTTCTATTAATTTTCTTTCAAATAAGGCCTACAGATGTTATAAAGAGTTTGAAACATAATTGCTGGCATGACTACCCTATCTGCAGCCAAGTAAGCTTTTTTTTTTATTAGACCTCATTTTGTAAGTGGAATGTGTCTTGAAAGTTTGAATTCAATCCTTCTCTGCTTAGCACTAAGCCATATATTGGAGAGGTACAGCATTTAAATGTTGCCAAGATACCTTTGCGATCAGAAGGGCAAGAGAAAGTTCAGTTCTGTAAAGTGAAGGCTTAGGTTCTGGAGAGCAGAGCCAAATCTGTGGAGAAAATCCTAAAACTGCAAATACTGTGGATTTAGATTGATCCTAAAAACACGTTTTATTATTTAGACGTAATACAAATTCAAATGATGTGAAAAATAGTAAAACCTCTAGTTTAGTGAGAGGGATTGAAGTGTTTTTAGACTATGCTATATGAATGCCAATATGGACAATAGAGTTTAGGTGGCTACTCATCTAACATTTGCAGGAAGATGTTAACAATATATGACCCTTTACTGTCAGCTGCAAGCACATAATATCATTCACAAATTATATATTTAGGTTTTGGGAACATGAAATGTTTTTTGTAATGCTAATACCAAGTCCACATGTCCAGAGATATCTAACAGAGAGTCTGTGGTCCAGTCCTCATCTCTTTGATAATTCTATTGACATCAAAAGTGAGAGCCATATGCAAAGGGTTTAACACTGCCATCTGCAGATTGCTATCAGATTTGCTGGGTTTTCCCACTGTTAAAGGACTGACTTTTCACTTAGTAAATCACAACAGTCAATTTGCTGCCCTTTCCATTCACTGCTGGTTGCCCAAAAGCCTACTGGACATCCTCTGATGGAGTTTTTCTGGGAATGCTACCCCAGGCATTAAACACTAGGTCAGTTTTGTCAAAATATCCTTTTTTGTCATCATGCCTCATTATTGACCTCTTCACCCACAAGGGGACTCTGAGCAACCAATCTGAGTCAAATAAGCACGAGGCTATTGAAGATGATGTGCACGTCCTGTTCCCGGACAACTTACAAGCAGTGAAACTCAGGGGTGATATCTTCTTCTCACTTAATAAAACTGGCAGAAGGGAAATACTTTTACTGTCAGAATGACCGTGTGAAAGGATGAATTAGGATTAATAGATGTTTATAATAGAAAAGGCATTTATAGCATGCCTGTGTCCCCAAAATGCCACCCCAGCATCAGAAAAAATTAAAAAGAACAAAGATTGGACACAAAATGACTTTATGTAAATAGGTAGTTTGAACAAGAGAGGGAACAAACTAGAAGAATCTGAAAATGACTGCATGGAGGAGCTAATTCCAAACATGACATCCATGGGATACTTTAACAAGAATGAGGTTTGTCTACACCAAAACCTAGAACCTGCTGCAGGTATTCATGAGCTATCAAAAATATGAATAAGCAAATCCATGTGGCAGAGTATAAAGTTGTGGGGAGTTAACCAGTTTGAGCCTCATTCTAAGGTATCTTGCATTGATACTGCTCTGAACCTGAGGCGTATAAAGATCTGCCTTGCACGCAATCAGCTTTGGAGTCTGATCACCCCTCTCCACCTGTGACAGTCTTTCTATTGCTATTGTGGACAATATCTGCTGGAGAGATACAGGCCCAGGCAATTTCCATTCTATTGCCAGCTCCACTGACTGCTTACATTGTGACATTTAACACAAATTGTTTCAGTTATTTGTCTTCATATCTAAACTAAGGATAAAAGAATAATCATATCCTTTTGTAAAATGTATCTGAAGTTTTTTAAAAAACCCTACATGAACAGTTATTTTAATCTCTCCTTGTTTAGTAATTTATTCTTGATAAAGATTCTGAGTAAGAATTATAATTAACAGAGAGAGTAAGTAAATAATGAGGGTTGAAATAAATCAGTTTTTGCAAGTTTCATAGCCTATCAGTTCTGATATTAAACTGGGTACTTGCCAACTTCAGAGAGAGTGGTATAACTTCACAGAAGAATTTATTTTGTGAGGGAAAAGAAGACCTCATAAGTGAGATATTAGTATTTTCTTCATTACAGCAAGGTCACATGTAACTGCATTTTCAAAACCTTCAGGTATTCTGCACCTTAGGCAGTAGGTGCTCAAACAGATCTCTGTGTTCTGCTCTGGCCAGGAGTTTTCAACAGTTATCTTTAATGCTGATCTCTTCTAAAAATATGACCATATAATTACATACTCAGATACTAAGAATTGTGATGATGGTGACTGGAGGCATGTGTACTAGTTCCCTGCTGGACACTTGGAAATTAGCAGTCCTTGCCTTTACTTCTCAATGGGATTGCTACAAACATTGGCCTGTCATTACAGATGGCTTCCTTATTCTTTGCCTAGCAGCAATAGAAAAATGATGCACCCAATAACTAGTGCCACTTATAAAAAAAAGTGCACAGTTCATTAGTTTGAATGGGTGTGCAGTTCTGACCTAGTGTGTCATTTACGTATTATAATGAGTCATTAGCATATGCTAATCACAACTCTGAGCCTTGTCCTGGCACTTCTAAAAGATGCTGGATGATGCTCTGTAGATGCTGACTATCGTGGGCTGTGCTCTGAATGCCGGCTCTGGCTTCCAGCAGTAGCCTGGGCTGGTTGGCTCCAAACACGGTACCAGGAGAATTCCATGTCTCTCTGAGGGAATGACTGCTGAATCAGGTTCGATTGCAAGTAGAGGCTTTTTGCAGAAAAGCATGTCGCATGAGGGCAAAGCGGTTATGTGAGGACAAGTCGTAACTGGCAACCCTCTGTGATCTGCAGGAGAAACCAGTCAAAAAGGGAGGGACACCCACAGACATGACACCATGTCTAGGCCGTTCAGCAAGAAGATGCTATCAGAAAAAAGGCAAAGTGCTAAACTCCTGGAGTGGTAGTTGAAGTTGTGTAGACTGAGTCTCTCACAGTCCCTTGATTTTCTTGTTTTCCTTTGGGATTTCAGACTGTCCCAGTTGGTTTTAATTAGTGATGTTTCTGAGATAATTTACCTTTTGCATTTGGCCAGAGCCCCTCACCTTTCCTCCCTGAGGTACATCTGCCTTACCATATAGCATCTTTCCTATTAGGAAATATGGTTTAGCAAGCATGAGACCTAAGCACGGGGACTGGAGTTCAGGGCAGATGACCCCACTTCTGCAGAAACGTTGCTGATATTTCTTTTTCCTTACACTGACCAGGGGAGAGAAGTGTCGCCTGCTATTCTCATGCCTTTGAGGAAACTGTTCCTTTCCTCTGCCGGCTGAAAGCTGTGGGTGCAACAGTACATTTCTTCTGCTTCTTGCTTATAGTCGTGACCTGTTGGTGACCTCTCCTATCATTACAGCTATCTGGGCAAGAAGAGTGGAAGGGGAGGCGTGGTAGGTGCCTGGTTGCATACACAAACCCAGAGCAAACAGTCCTTTGAGCCACACTTCCCTCTCCTGTGTAACAGGGTGGGGAGCTGACTGGAAGGTGTGCTCGCTGTGGGCCCAGTGCTGTAGCTGCCAGATATCACCTTCCCAGCTCCTGGTGCTCCTGCCCACCATCCCTTTCTCCAGGAGAGGGGAGTCACACTCAGTACTCAGAAATTACATGTTGAACACTTATTAATCATGGGATTAGCATTAAAATCACAGGATATTAAAACTAGTATATTCTTTGTGCCTTATGGTTCTGGAGCCACCAGGGGCCAGGGTATCTAGGGCTTTTTCTGACAGCATTACAGGTTGCTGGAGGGGAGGAAGGCAGAGAGGAAGGGAGTGCTCTCACACGAGTCTTTTGACTTTAGGGACTGAGGTGCAAGAAAACAGACAGCAAATGTTGTGGAAATGATTATAAAATTTGGCAGTGTTGCACATGTTTTTGTCTGTGGGCAGAATAAAACATGCAAACAAGGGCTAAGCTTAGCTGAAGCTTTGATTTCTTTCGGTTGGATAGTGTTCTTTTAATTCCTTCTGATCCAGATCTCCATTCTTTTACACACAGCCACCCAGAAATACGCAATTCCCGGCGTTTTCATCTTCAACTCTGGATTTGCTCTTCCTGAGATTTCACTGCCCACTACCAGAGATGAAGGCTGTTACTACGCGACTCTTCGTACAGGTTTCACTGCAGCCAAAGTATCCTGTTTTTCAAACAAACTTCTATCAAGGAGAAGTGATTAGCCAAATTAATGTGAAGTTAATGTCCCAAAGCAGCACAATTTGTTCTCAGAACTTCACGCGACATTTAACTAACAGCCCAAAGAACGGGTTCCAATTGATAAAGCGATCAGAAGAGTCACAGCAATGGGCTCGGATATGCAGGGCTTGGCATAGCTTTTTCACTACCATAAATTAAAGAATAAGTATCAAGTAATGCATTTAACCAGGGAAGCATATGTAAAAAGAAAGAAAAAAAAAAACAACAAAAGCAAATTGAAAGTTTCTTGCTGTTTCCATGGTGCATCTTGGGAACAGTAGCTCTGAGGGCCACCAACAGAGAACAGAGCTGGGTAAGGAGGAAGAGGTTAGGTTTGGGAAGGCCAAAATGCCAAATTTGAGGTGAGAGTCTAGATCCTTCAGATCCTGACATGTTAACACCAACAGGCCTTTAATGATACAGCTCACTGCTCGTTCTTATGCAATAGTAGCCTTTCACTTACGGAAACCTGTGTCCAAATGATATTTGGAGCAATAAAAGTCTGTTGTAGGACCATGGATGTCATCTGTTTCCAAAAAGTCTCTCAGAAGAGCCTACCCTAAAGTTTGCCTAACACTTGATATCGATCTCTCTCATAGAATAAATCCAGAGAGAGGCAAGACCAGGATGGCAGTCCTTTAGCAGGTGCATTGCCTGAGCTGCTTGGGGAAGCACACACAACACCTGCTCAGGCACTACCTGACTGGAGTTGAACTGCTGCAATTAGTCCCTCATTTTAATGAGCACCAGACTCAGTCACATCTTTTTTAAATCACTCCCTTGTGATTTTATCCTTTGAAGTGCTGTTAATCCTCCACTACCAGCAAGATCAGTGAGGAAATGGTTCACAGCACCACTCGGGTGTGCTGGGCACCTTGCAAGACCAAGACAGGTCCATATGGTTTCTTGTTTGTAGTTTTCAGGGTCTACTTTAGCCCTTCTCAGAGGTGCCATTCTTGGCTGACTGATGACTGTTTGACCTAGGATGACCCGAAATGGTCACGTGGTCATTCCAGATGGATGGCTTTAGATTAACTCATAGAAATCTCCTCCTAATTTAAGCATGTGTCTTTTTCACAAGGACAACTCCACGTTCTTTAAATCAAGGCTTCACATCTGTCCCACATTCCTAGGACTCATCACATAACTGTGAGCTGTGCTACACAGTCACCTCAGCTAATGCAGACAAAGTATAATAAGGCTCTCAGTGTAGTAAGCATTCGGAGGATGATTGTCTGTCTGTCAAGCAGATCTGTTCTTCTATACTTCAGTATTAAAGAAATCCTGAAAATTAACATTCCATCAGCTACAAATCCAACTTTGTGGGGAGCTTTTAAGAACATATTCCACGGTCAGTTGATACATATTGGGCTAGAACCAAAAGTGATTAAACATTGAAATTAGAAGCCTATGAAATAAGCTGGGAATCCCTAGAAAATCAGTGCACAGCTTATTGTAAATTTGATTATGAATTTTTTAGGCACTAAGTAGACAAAATTACTGTTAATCACATGTAAATTGAGATACTGGAACTAATCCACTGAAATTAGTGGGATTTTTGCCACTGATTTCCACAAGAGCAGGATTGGGCCTGCTCTGAGCAAAGAAAAGGAGATGGAAAATTAATGTCTTGAAGAAGTAAAACTTAGGCCAGGTCTCCCTATCAAAATGATGGATAGCTCAGTAAATAATCAAACTTATATTCTCTCTTTTCACCCAAAAAGGCATCATTAGCTGAAAATCCGTGCCAAGCTCAACTGCCACTTCTGTTAAAAAAAAATAAATAAAAGGAAAAATAAAGATTTTGTTAGTATGATGTATTAGTATTGAAAGTCAAACCGGAAGCTTACTTACTGAATGTGTGATGATTAAATATTTGGTAACTGGCTCAAGGAGTAGAAATCCAGTCTACAATGGGGTGTCAGTAGAAGGGTTGTGTTTGCTGGAAGTGCTGCTGTGGGATGCTCTGGTCTTTTCTGCCTGCCATGGTTCAGATGGCATGGATAATCTGCAGAGACAGGGTAGCCTGAAGTCAGGTAAGCATCCTTGCTGGGGCCATACATTTCTTAAGAACAGCTAATATGTTCAGGTAATATAAGGACAGAACCTCAGAATTTAAAAATAAAAATCAACTGCATTTTAGAGTGAATGACTGCAAGCTAAAGTAGGAATTTTTTACTATCCAGAGTTTAGCTTCAGTATGTATTTACTTGCTGTAGCATTTGGGAATAAGTAGACATAGTTTATGCATCAATTATTGATGGTGTGGTAGCCCCCTCCATGGCAGGCCAGAATGCACAAATGGCCTTTGCACTTTTAAGGTACAACCATCCAATATTGATCACCATTCCTGTCTTTTTTAACCTTGTAGACAAATCATTATCAGCTCACATGCATGGAAGCAGAGATTTCCTAATTCTCCTTTTCCCCTTTTCTCCACTCAGTACAACAGCCAAGGGCAGAATAAGAAAAGTAGTTAATAATCACTTTAGGCTGCCTCTGCACCATATTCTTTGGCTACTGGAGATCCTTGGCAAAAATTCATCTTGAGACTGGCTCCACACTACTCTAGTTGAGCCCTCATTCCTGAGGACTCATTTGAACAACAACAGCCGTCGGCCAAGGCTTACCAGTCACGCTGTTCCGTCTGTTTTCTCCTGTTGCCTATGCCAAAGCCTAGTGGAAGTATCTTTACCCAGCCTGAGAAATCCCTTACATAAGGTAGATTCTCCAGAGGACCTTTATGCATGATTTACAGCATCATTATGCTATCATGCAGCCATAAAAACCATAAAGTCCCAAGCACTGAAGGCAAGACCGACACAAACATATACTTTACTTTACCTGCTTCTGTGCCTCCAGAATACCTGCAGCACACACTGCCTCTCCCTGCCTCCACGACCCAGCACCATGCCTTGGTAGGTCACAGTGGGTTGCCAACCAGTTGCATGTTGTATGTGATACCCCTGAGGGAAAAGAAGGCTGAGAAGCTCCTGGAAGATATGGATGTACCTGAGACATGGCAAGGTGACAGAGGTTGCGTCCAAGTGCCACGGCTCTTCCCACATCATCTGATGCTAGAAAGTTTTCTCCTGTCAGCAGATAAACCATTGCACAGTCTCAGCTGTCAAAAAAAGAAGCAGACTGAGAATGAATTTAACAAATTTAGCAAATGTGAGTTTAACTCGACTGCTCAGGTAGCGTGGTATGACATGCACATTTCCATCCATTATTTTCAGCTACTCAACAAGAAATCATTTCAGTACCACTGGCTAAGTCTATATACTCACTCATTTGAATATAATGTCTTCGTTTTCATATGAAGACTTAAAATTCCTCTGGGCAAATTGGATATTTTTTTTTAAATCTTTGTGAATTGAAAAATTTAGTAGCCATGGTTGATTTCCCATTTTGATGGGTACATTGCTTTCTTAGCTATCTCTCAGGCAGAGTATATCACTTGAAGTGTGAAGTTCTATAAGCACAAATTATGCCTGATACTGAAATGTTTTCTTTTTCTTCTCCTAATTAGTAAAGTTAATTTGATTTAAATGGCAGTTCTGCTGAGGTACTGGTATTTATTCCACTTTCAATACACAAACGTTCTGAAAATGTTTCCAAAATATTAAATGAAGCCATAAGTTTGCTGTGGTCAAGCAAAAAATAAACCCCTACAAATTATTACTTGAACATGTTATTCCCAAACACTTTTGAGAGGGCTTGCTTTGCTTTATTTACACACTTTGATTTTTCTAGAACTAATGACTTCTCTCACGTGGCAGAAAATTGCAAGTCTCAGCTATGAAGACCCAAGAAAAACATAAGCCTCTTTATGAGAAACATGTTATCCTAAGACAGTCTTTACCAGTCTGGTGTGTTTGCAGACTCCTGTGGGTTCCAGCACTCCTTCTATGGGGACCACGAAGGGTAAGCAAAGCCAGCATGCCCACTGCCAGTAGGTTTTCATTTGCTGCACAGAGATCCACATCTCCAGCGATAAATCCTTGCGGGTCCACAAATTGAAAAATGTTGAAAATCACTGCCCTAGGAATTGTGCTTGTACCTTGGAGCTATCTTTGCTAATTGGGCAGAGCTGACAAGCAGGTCCAATATGGTGAAGAGAGATCCCCAGATTATTAACAACATGATGGCATCTGGAAGTTCTGTAGAGCAATAGAGGCACAGCTCTAATCAAGGACTTTTTCAGCCTCTTGTATAGCCCATCTGTTACAGATTTAGCATATTATATATAATGCCCTCAGCAACTGACTTTGATGTATGTTCAACTGTGGAACTTCTTTTGTAAGGAACAAAAAGAAATTATTGTTTATTATCTGCTAGGTCTTTAGAATGGAATCTCTGCAAAAGTCAACAAAATAAATTATCCATGTTTTCAATATCTATGAAATATTGATATCAGATGGAATTATTCTGCTATCCAAAGATCACTAAGCCATGGAGATTTTTTTTCTGGATTTCACTAGAATTCTAATCGTGGACAAACTCTGCATAAGACAAAGGAGACGTGTTAAATTTAGGGTACTCAGATTTTAGATGAAAAATAGGAAGCAATGCAGTGCAAACATAATTATGTTTCTATATGATATGAAATGATTTATTATAAGTATTAGAATACAGTTTATTGCAAAGTACTGAGGCAGTTTGGTCTTTTTTTTTCTTCTCTTTTACTTGGTGCAGCACAAGCAAAGGGTAAGGGATGTGTCCTGAATGAACTCCAGTTTGGGATATTACATTTTGCCTGATCCTAAATTCAACTGACAGTGTCAAAAAAGAAGAAAAAAAGGTGTCCATTCCTAAATCATTCTCTGTTACTGTAATCAGTAGGTACATCTGATGACTTCCTTTATTTCTGAGAAAAACAGATCTGTGTTTGGAGGGCTCTTTGTTAAGTTATAATGCTTTCATTCATTAACATGAAAAATACACTATAAACAGGAAATAAGACTTTATTTGTTCCAAGCTAGTCTACACCTTCAGTAGTTGATATTAGTCTAATATAACCTTCTCTCCAAATTTGTTTTCAATGTGTAATTTAGCAAAGAGTTCCTTCCCTTTTTCTTCCTTGACCAGAATTTTCATTTAATTCACTGAGGGCTTGTCTGGGTTAAGAGTGTGGCAAATTGGTCAGGATTTCAGCATTTGGCCCTTATGGCTGCCATGGCTTGCCAGCATCAGCTCCTCAAGGACACTGGCCAGAGCAGCTGCCAGGATGCCACCATGCAAAGGTTAGGAGATTACCTCCAGGTTCCTGGCAGTGGCCTGCAGAGCATTTTACTGGTCCAGGGGCTGCTTAAGCCTGTTATGGGCTGAGCTCCATGGGTTGGGAATGCCTTTTTAGGGTGATGTTTCAGCAAGTGGCTTTCTTTCTGTGGCTGGGTCAGGAAATTTTTCCCTTAAGCTTTTGACAGGAAGGCTGAATTGCTGTGATCTCTCTTGTTGTTCCCTACGATATTCATTAGTGCTCCTGTTACGATGCTGTGAGCAAGTGATGAAGGAACACGAGGAGTACATGCTATATGGTATCAAGCCCCATCCAAGCCACCAGATCATGGACATGTGCTGTGGGGAAGTGGAGGTGTCCAAGAGGAGCACACAGCCCCAGTGCCGCACTGGGCACTTGCCAGGAGGCGTTCATGAGTTCTCAGAAATTCTTTCTTCTTAATGCCAATGGTTGTCAGATGGAAATGAAAATAAACTGTTGTTCATATTCCTACAGAATGAGGGCTAGTGAGTCTCAGGACTAGAGTGCCTTTCCCATTCTGCTTTAGATTCAGCTTTAATTTCCCTGAAGTTAAGACACATTAAGATATCTCTGTGTTTCTTCCTTTTTTGTGCAATCCAACAACTTTCTTGACATTTAAAAGTAAGTGATGCACTCACCACTTAGTTTTTGTGTGTTTGTTTTTATAGTTTACAGTCAGAGCAGGGCAGCTCCGCATTGGAAGAAGTCACCAAGGTTCTGTCAGTTTTAAGGTGGACTATGCTAAGTACCTTCATTTGGAGATAATAGACTTTAAAATCACCCAGTTTTGATTTACAGACCTAAATTAGTCATAAAAATCTCTAATGACTTTAAACATTCTGTGTTGATAATTAAATTGTAAAGGAGGCTATAAATGGTTGGGAAGAAGAGAATATGTTCCTCTTAATATTTATTATACACATTACAGGCTTCACTTAAATGTTTGATGTAGAGTGGAGACCCCTTTTCACTGGGCAAGGAACAACATCACACTGAAGGACAGATCCTGCCCTGAAGAGTCGACATTTTTGAGAAAGAAACAAAGCTTGCAAAGAGATACAATGATTTACCTGGCACAACACTGTTAGTTCTCATCAAGGATGCTGCTTCCAGGTCCCTGACCCTGTCCACTGCACAGCAGTTGCTGCACAGACATAAAGGGCAAGAATCATAAGTTAACAAGTTCCTACAATATTAAACACAGAAATATTTGTGTTCATAACAGGTTTATTGTTAAAGACATAAAATTGACCTTAAAATCATGAAATATATAAATCATACAATAATTGTAACAAAGGTCTGATGCTGGTAAGTATTTAATGTAAAACTTATAAAAAGTGTGGCATGTACATCAAGGCTTACTCTGTATTTGTAAGTTAAACTTTCTTTTCAATGAAAACTGAGACATTACTGTAATCACTTGGGCCTGACATGGATACCTTTCAGAAAATACCACGTATTGCAAGGCTCACTGTGAAAAGTGAGAATAAATAATTGATATACAGTCAGTTAAAGAACACTTCAGCCTTTACTGGATGTCTTCAATCCCTGTAGTTCAAGTTTGCTCACCTCAAAATGGTATTTTTTGTTATGTAATTACTCATAATTTAAAATATACTTCTCATTGCTAGATTGATTTTTTTTTAATAGTGTTACCCTCCAGCACTCATATCTTCTTACACATTTTTCTTCTGTCATTAGTTATCTCCCTGTAAAAGTTTTTGAATACAGACCCTAAAAAGGTTTTTTTCTTCCATAAAGAAACTCTCTGCATCTCCCATTTAAGCTACAACAATATTTAAAACATCTAATAATACATACTCCATTTCTTCCTTATCATACTTTTTGGGTTTCTGAAGAGAGTAAACAGAGGCTTTTGCTAAATAAATTAAAAAACCCAAACAAACAAGCAACAAAAAACCAACATAGATTTGTTTTAAAATGTCCTGGACTGGGTGACAAAATAGGATTGTTTACCAGCCAATAAATATTTCGGATATTAATTCACAGATTTATAAAGAAGTGAACAAAAAAAATATGTATAGCCTTGTCTGGCATTTCCTGATGCTGAAAGTACATAAATTAATATTAACCCCAAAGTTCAAGAAAAATGCAATAGAGATGTACTCAGGTTGCTGACAGTTTCTGAGAGAAACTTGCAAAGATCAGTATCATAGATTTTGATGTGGGGAAGGGTTTTGCAAAGAGATGGTATTGACTTTTATACATCCTCTCCATGAGCAGGGGCAAAACAAGAAGGGAAATCACTTATGACATGCCTTAAAGCTCAGGCAGTTTTTGAAGAGATCCGTTCATCTGAAACAAAGAAAAAAAAATCACTGAGTGATTGATTTTTACCCCAGCACAAAAACTTTTTTTTTTTTTTTTTTTTGCACTAGGTACTATTCAGTAGTTGAGTACTAAACAAACAAAGATAAATTAAGTCATTCACTCTCAGAAAATTCAGAAGTGAAGTGGTACAGTGCTGGTGATAACCAGCTAGTCTTACCAGCTAGTACTTTTGCTTGCTTTTATAGGAAGATCGCAAAAGAGCCAATTTCATCTGTTTCACTAATTAAATTAACAATCAAGCATACATTAATAAAACATAATTCAGATTCTTTTCACCTCCATCATAAATAAGTTTTATGAGATTTTAAGTATTTATTATGGTGTAGTCTCAATATGAAACGTAGTTCCTAGGACCCAATGTCATATTTAGGGCCCTGATTTTCCACCTAGGTTTTTTCCACTTCTAATTGATTCCCATGGATGCTATTAGTTAAATAACAGGGCGTATGATATCCCATAGTAAAGTGGTAGAGTGCTGGAATTATCTCCAGTGTGTAAC